CACAAAATTGCCTAAGTTTTTCTCTCCCAAGGGTTTGGGGCAAGGTCGAATCCTCTCCCTCGCAACCGGTTTTGGTGGTCGGTCGGCCTGGGACTCTTTGAATTTTTGGGCTTTAGCAAGGATGGCCTGATCCTCCGCCTCTTGAGCCCTTCTCCTCACCTCCAACTCCGCTCGGTCGAGGTCCCCACTACTTGGCTTTGGACCCAACCCTGCCTCAAACAATGCATACGGCTGAACGAGCTCGTCCCATTTGGCCCCTTCTTTCCTCCTCCACTCCTTCACCCTCTTCACCCTCCCCTTCCCGGATGCTCCCAGTTTCGGCTCCACAGACCTGATGGGTACTTTCCAAATGGTGCACACTCCAAGCCCCCCATTGGCAGACACGTAGAACCATCGTGGTCGCCACCCCTTGATCGACGACGGCAGCCCCGCCACCAATCCTTTCCCCACTGCTGCCTGCAGAGTGACCCACGTCTCCTGCTGCCCCGAGGCCTTATAACATGCAACGAATTCGTCTACTGTCATGGCCTCCCCTCCATTCGCCTTCGGCCACGCACTTGCACAGGCCAGCAGGATCTTCCATGCATTGGGCATTAGTTGCCCCGGTGCTACCTCTAGACGGTTGAGCACATCCACTACCACTTGCGGCAATGGCAATCTCAGTCCACCCTTCAGAGCTTCCTCATAAAGGGAAAACTCTCCTGGCCTGGCGTCAGACGGCCTTTCCGTTGATGTCGGCAGCAATAACTCCACTTCCCCAGGGGTCTGGTATTTTTCGCGGATAGCCTCCAACTCCGCCGCAGTAATCGTGGATTTGTCAGCCTTCGTGTGCTGATGATCTGGTTCCACCTGGCTGATTGGCTTTGGAGCTGCTATCATGGTGGAACCATGGGATCGTACCACCGACTCCCCCACCCTCTCTGTCCTATACTGCGCCGTTAGCTCCACTGCATCATCATCTCCAAGTGGGTCCACCCTGACAATTGCATTTCCTTCTTGGGCCATTTCTGTGGTATGTTTGCGAATCACTTCGGCGGCAGGTACAAGGAAATCGAAAAAGTGTTACAGAGGTGTATTGTGAGCAACAAAGGAATTCACACTTGGAATATTTTGATTTTTCGTAAACAAGTAGGTGAATCGAATGATGCCAAAAGCCCACGGTTTGCCCGTATTTCAAGGATCCCAATTAATTTTTGCCAGTTTGAAAACTTTTCAAAATCATCTGTCAAAACTGTCTCTTCAACACCCATAATGACTTACCGTTTCATTTCTGATCCAACGCCTAATCTTCCCCCCTACGGGATGTTGCCACGTGTACGACCACGATCCACTGTCTCCTCCCCTTACCCTGTCTTTTCCACTTCAACTCACCACGTGACACGCCGCGTCTCGAGCCCCACGCCCCTCCACCTCACCCTTCGCGGTCAGTCCTCCTTGCTGTCGACCATACCACTCGGCCAACACTGCGGTCGGCCCTCCTCGCGGTCAGCCCTCCCGCTCGGCCAAACGCCGCTGTCGACCCTCCTCACGGTCAGCCCTCCCGCTTGGCCAACCACCGCGGTCGGCCCTCCTTGTTGTCGACCATTCCGCTCGGCCAACCACCGAAGTTGGCCCCCCCTTCGCGGTCGGCCCTCCTTGGTGTCGACCATCCCACTCGGCCAACCTTGCGGTCGGTCCTCTCCGTGATCGGACCTTTCACTCGGTCTCCCTGCGCAGTCGGACCACCTCCCGGTCGGTTCACCCCCCTCAATCACCCCTTCCAGTCGACCTTCATCCTGCCAATCCCTAACACACTCATCTACGTCATTAATATTCCCTTCGTTGGAGTAAAGCTGCACTTGGGAATGGGGGACTACTAACATGTATAAGCCCATAAAGGCCACAAATCACCTATGGACAATCCAAGCCCATCACTTGGAGCCCAGTGCATAACCCAGCTGGTGAGGTCCAGGACATCTGGAGTCCAACTTGGCATAAAGAGCCAATGACATTCAGACACACGGCAAGAGAAGGATGAGCCACATCAGCAGACAAAGATCTGCAAAGTTATTGCCACTGCACATCACCATTAATGCAGCCCATCACAGCACTTATTACGACAACACCTCTCCGCCGGAATAGGACCCCTTTACCCTGAGCAAGGTAAGCTACAGCATAGGCTTTCGGCGAGGAGAGCAGGTCGGAAGGGACAACGAAATGATTGCCAAAGGATATAAGCGAACGTTGAAGACAAGAAAAAGGTTAAGCTTTTTATCTCTAATCTCTCCCCATATACTCTACTTCTCTTCCTAACTTGCTCGTCGGAAGGTTCACTGGGGGACTACCCCGTTCCCCGTTGAACTTGTTTGCAAGTTATCCGGTGAGCTCGATCATTTGGGCTTGGGCTTGAGGAGCTTGGACCAATTCGCTCCATTCACTGGGATAAACTGTATCAACAAATAGTAAAAAATAACAGGAAAAAGAAAATTGGAAGTACCGTATACCAGATTCTTAAGCAAGAAGTGATGAAAATGTGTTGATAATTGGTCTACCTACAGGTTTTTGGACTTGTGAATTTTGGGCAATTCGGGCTAACCCGAGTTCAAAATACAAAGCTTAGTCTGGGCTTGGGCAGCAATGTTCGGGTTCATGGTCGGGCTTAGGCGGGCTTGGGCACTGCCAAATACAATTCGGGCTGGACTTGGGCAAACCCTCAACCCGACCAAACCCGCCCGAGTTGCACTCCTAGAAATCGACCCAACTATGTGGTTCAAGTTAGATTAGATGAGTAAATCGAGTCATGTGGGTCACTGCACTGCCCTATCAAACACTCAAATACAATTGTTCTTAGATAAATACAATATCATTCGTATGAATGAAAATAATAGTGTTGATGATCATATTAATCAAATGAAGTTAATTGCTAAAGAATTATTTAATGTTGATCATCCTTTGTCAGACGAGATACAAGTAACTACCATATTTAATAGTCTTCCATTGACTTGAGATCATGCTGTTACATCTCTAGCTCACAACAAAAGGGATATTTCAATGGTAACTTTGTCAATGCTATTAATTTAGGAAGAAGAAAGAATGAAGCGAAGGTGCAGAGAATGCTTACTCTAAGGCTCCGTTTGTTTTCAAAAGTAAAATTGAGGGGATTGATAGTGAGGGGATTGATAGTGAGGGGATTAAGAAAAATTGTGTTTGTTTTGATGATAGTTGTTAGTGTAGGGATTGTTAAATTATTTTTATACAAAATAAATATAAAATAATAAAACAAATAAAAAAATATAAAAACATTAAACATTAATATTTTAAAAAAAATGCCCAACATGTAAAAAAATTTTAAAAAATAAAAATAAAATAAAAAAATTCCAAATAAAATAATGATTTTTACTTAACAAAAAATACAAAAAATTAAATATTAATGTTCCAAAAAAAATGCCCGACATGTAAAAAATAAAATAAAAAATAAATAAAAATAAAAAATTTATAGTCTACCGGACTATTTTTCTAATACTAAATCCTGAAAACCCATCTGAATCCCTTTGGGGAGACCCATCCGAATCCGGAGCTCACTATCAATCTCCTCCCCATCTTTCAAAACAAACACAATATTAGTGGGTCTCACCTTACTACCAATCCCAATCCCCCCTCTAACTCTCCAAACAAACGGGACCTAACTTGATGACACAATCATCAATACAACTACAAAATAATTCTCACACAACATCTAACAAAAGGAAGACTATTTATTTTAAGAAAATATGCGGAAAAAAGGATTTAAGAAAGGGTAGCAAAAGCAACAAGGATGGCAAAAAATACAAAGCAATAAAAACCAATCAGATCCATACTACAATTGCTATTAGAAAGGTTACATCAAAACCATCTGTCTTAACAAGTAGAGAAATGATCACAAGCCTATTCCATGACAGTTTCAAAAGCAATGGTTAATGAATCTTCATCAAATTCATGTTGACTTACTCTGCAACTACTAGACACATAGTGCAAAGCAAAGATAAGTTTGTGAATCTCACCGAAAAGAAGATTGGTGAATACAGAATCTATATGAACGAGAAATTATATCAACAAGGTCCACAGAGAGAGAGAGAGAGCAGAGCTTCTCTCTAGGTGATTTTCGACGATACTCTGATGACATTCCGATGACCTACTTTACACTTCAAAAGTGTAGATTTACACTCCTAAATTATAGATCTACAATTTTAGAATATAGATCTACACTTTTTATGTTCGAAATAAGAATTTTACGAGTTTTCTCTTCCAATTGCAGCATAGATTTTTAAATTTTCGACACCCCACAATGGTTCCCTCCTCTCAAGATTACTCTCATACCATTGTGGGTGTACTTCCTTCTCCAACGACAGCAGAATTGGGCCACAACAACGAGAATGGCATTGACGAAAACAATGGATTTTCAAGCAGATCTTACTTGCCAAACCACATCTTTAAACAAATCGATAATTTTTTCTAGATCATAACTATTTTTTTTTCTGTTTTTTTGACAGATTTGTTTTTCGTTTTGTTGTTTGGTTAGTATGACCTTATGAGGTCTTGGGATTTTGTTTATGTACGTTGATTGTTTTATTAATATAATAAGTCCCATGTTCTTTAAAAAAAAAAACAAAAAAATCTATATAAACTCTTACAATGATGTTTTGGACATCAACAACTATAAATTCTCTATTAATGGATCTTTCATCACACTTCATGATGTGCTTTATGTACCCAACATCCGAAGAAATTTAATTTCAATCCCCATCTTAGCCCAAAAAAGGTTTTGAGATTAATTTTATGCTTGACATAGTGAAAAAAGATTTAAGAGTGAATAACATATACGCTCTTCCTATTGATAATAGTATGCATGTCTCTACTAATGATAATTCTTATTTATGACATTTAAGATTGTCACATTAATAAAAATAAAACGTATAGGATATGTAAAAGTCAACTTTTACCTAAAGTGTGTTCCAATGATTTTGATATATGTGAACCATGCATCAAAGGAAAAGTGACTAATAAGCCATTTTCATGTAGAAGAATGCAAAGAACCCTGGCAAGAAATATTCACTCAGGTTCATTTAACAACAAGAAATGCAGCTCCATGATCCTCTGCAAAAACCAAGTTACTTGTTTCAATCACTTCCAAACATATAAAATCTATGGAAGCAAACACCATTTAATGTGAAACCACAAATTCCAAGCTAGCCTCTCAATCCTAACAACTATGTCTTCAAGGGAGCCTTCTTCTCTCTGTCAGATATTCGAGCAGGTGCATTTGAATGTGATTTGAATCGGCCTCTGCCTCCATCTTCCCTCTCCTGTTAAAAAATGCAAGTTAAGAATGTTTAGCTTTCAGTATGACATTTATGCTCAGTTTGGTTGCAAGAGGGCAAAAATGATAACAGAATCATACAACCTTCCAGATGGTCAAAACTAGTGACTATTGAACATTTATTCCAAATTGGGCATAATTCAAAAAGAAAACAAATCGCATAAAGATTTTAAAAACTTCAAAATCGTTCCATAAATCACTCAACAAACAGCATAGGAAGTCAACAGCCATGTTACCCCCCATCCAAATAAGTTTTCAATTGGATTTCTATATTAGTGCATGAGATTATATTCAATAAGGATTATCTGGGAATTTCAGTGGTGGTAATGGCTGCCATGTCAACAAAAGTCAGCAGGGAGGATTATTAGTGGAACTAGTAGGTCAATAAAACCCTCCTAAAAGTACAATATGCAGCCAAAATTTATTCACAAAAACTGGCTATTGCAGGTGGGGCCCAACCCAATCAAATTCATACTCAAACAAAATGCTCATCAAACCTTCTTTTTAACAATCTGAACGACGTCCTCATCCTGAAGAACATGGCCAAGGCCACAATGCTGTGGGTAGTGCCTTGCACTTATGCCCCACACCAACACATATTTGACTTCCTTCATTAGGCTCCGGTGTATGTGATCACAGAAATCTTCAACTGAGCAGCCACCTCTATCCTAATATTACAAACCAAGAAAGAAAGATTATTCAAGGAAAGGAAAAAAAGAACAGACGCTTCCATGCATGATAGCTCTATGAAAAACAGAGGTAAGGAAATTTAGCATACAGCAGAGAGAACCACAGGATCTGTGAAATCAGGTTGTTGTCCCTGCGGCTTTGTGTAAACTCTCACAAGCCCCATCGCCTCCCACATCTTTGCAAGCAATCTGTCTAAATTTAGCTGTTCAAGCAACATAACAGTGTCATTCCTCAGGCAGTGTAGTTCTTCAAAAAAAAAGTGTTGACCTGCTTATTCCCATTACTCTCCCAAACCCAGTGGATATTTGGATCCACATTACAAAGCATGCTAACATGTTTATGATATTTAATGCACAATGATGTATGAAAAAATGTCATTTCAGAAACTCAGTGAAACCAATGGTAACTGGCCAAATGGATTAATGCACTTACCACTCTTTCAAATTGTTTACATGCAATTTCAATAAACCCTACAGATGAGTGACAAATACATGATACGTTTGTCTTATAGGTGGAAAAACATTTCCTGTTAAAAACATCATTGTTATCCAGAATACATTTAACTTTCAATTACACATCCCAAAATATGCAGATCCAGACAGACTGTTAAAACATCAATAAATTTGTTTCAGGTTTTCTCCATTGTAGCCAAATCTGGTGCTGAGTAGTAATTGGTCCAAAAATATTTATAGAAGTAAAAGCTACAGCTAAGTTAATGAAGGCACCATACATGCCCAGTATGAACCAAATTACCTGGATCTGTTCAAGTCATATAGCTCAAGTGATTGCCCAATTGCACGCTAAAACATAAATAACTCATTTGGCCCGTATCCATATTAAAGTGGAAGTTAAAAAAGTAGTACCTTTAGATTGCAGCTAATGACAACAGAATTTGGTTGTCGGGCTAATTTGTCCACATCATCAATACCAATAACATCTATCTTGTTGTAGACATATATACACTTCATGTACTTGCGGTTCCCCTCAATAACATCTATGAGATCATCCACTGTGGCATCCTCACGAAATAATACCTACACAACCAGAAAAAACGTCAGTCAAAGTATTTTATTTGAAACAACTAACAACTAAATTAGGAAAGCTAAGTAATTAACCAAAAATAACAAACATACAAAATAATTCACCTAAAAATTAATAAAAATACAAATACATGAGCACTTAATATTGTATTATAAATTTTGATCTTTATGTAAAAGGATAACATTAAGTATCCCCGCATCATAACTCATAAAGCAAAAGTGTTTCTCTAGCTTTGGAATACCCATGCAACAGAGTTATCTTAGGTAACTCCTAGTGAAGTTGGAATGGTTCCCTCTTCAACTTTCAGAATTTGCACAATAGAAATGTTCACACATCCCATACGCATTGATACGATAACATGTTGTGTTAAGCAGAACAGTAGTAGTTCTTACATCTTGAAATGTTAATGACACTATGTACACCATAACTTGATCTATAGGACCCCATCTGTAACTTGATGGGGGCTAAGGTGATCAAGGAGTGAATCGAACTTAAGTAAAACATGCGAAATCTTGACCCAAATAAGATGGGTTTTAGCAGCAAAGTATAAATAGTAGTTTTTGGTTTGGTTCATGTATAGAGAGGGACTCCTACACAAGAAAAGATAGATTTCATAGTTTGATCATAGTGTTCTCAGTTAATACAGAGTTTGCTTCCTTCTCCATAAGCGGTTGATCCTCTTAACATTGATTTATAAATTGTAATTTTTAGGGTTGATTGATGATATGACAATTGTAAAACTTCGGGCATTATTCTTCAATGGAACTTGATTTCTTCAATTTCACACTTTGTATTTGATTTTGACAATTTTTAATGCATGGCATAGTTGTCAAATAGGGATTCAAATCGTGAATCGAAATGGTATTGTACCGAATCACAAATCGAATCGTGAAGCATAAAGATTCGATCACCTTTTTTAAATTACATAGAAACATATATCTACACACTTGATATTAAAAATATCTAATAAATATGAAATATTTAGACTTAAATCAATGAAAATATTATTTTAAATGATGATCATGTGGTCTTGGTAAGAAGTTAACACGGGTTCCCATGTTTACTACTTCACCTTTTCCCTTTTAGATATGATTTCTTATCAATCATTCTTAATAAAGAAAGCAAACAAAAACAAACTTTCAATTTCCAAGTAACAATAACTTAACAACAATATTTTTAACTTTTTACAAGGTTAAAAAACCAAAATCTTCAAACTTTTTCAAAAATCTCACTTGATGCCTTCAAAAAATTCATTTTGTAAATGCAAGTACTTAGATAAAATTGAATATATAAGCCTAGAATATTGTAGAGAGTTTATTTTTTTCCACTTCAGTTTGAGTATTTGAGAGTAATAGGGAGAGAGAAAGTCAAAAGATAACATATAGTAATCCTAAAGACCTTAAAAAGGTTGTGTGAACCCTTTTTCCAACAATAAAAAAACCAAAAAAGAAAGCCAAACATCGATTTTAGTGAATCGAATCGATTCACGACTCACCGATTCACCTACGATTCATAGCTATTTGCGATTCATACAACCTGTTCATATCGATTACCGACTTAATCGAATCGAATCATACGATTCGAATTGCGAATCATACAATTCTAATAACAGAGATGCATGGTTATACAATAGCTTTATGTGTATATGAAATTGACGATCAAGATAACCTATGCTAAGTTAGACAAGTCATGCTCAAGTTGGTTGTAGACTATTTGTATTTGGCAAAGATAGATTATACCCAATTAGCAATCGCATAATCCTCTTGACGACACCGTTGGGCTTGTAGTTACAACAGCTCACTATCATATTAATTGATCGGTTCTTTAAATCAATAAATAATCAAAGTTATAACATTAGGGTAATTTGAAGCCCTTTTTCCTGTTCATCAATAAATATTTCCTTTTCGCTGATTAAAAAAAAAAAATCTCAATTTATTTACCACAATCAGAAATTTCCCAAATTAATTTGAAACTTGATTTCCGAATTAACACAGCTCAGCCTCTTAGTCCCTGAGGTTTGACCCGGATGGAAGCCGCTATGCTATTCGAATTGACGTTTGTAGTTTGATTACTGATTTTAAACGATCAATAAGCTCAACGACATTGGATTCAATGGCTACATCAGTTTGTTGTATACAGTTTTGAGTATCAACATTGGCATTGATTTGACTAATCAATTTTCCAGGGCAACCAAGTTGTCATCAATGGTGTTTCTAATGTTGTTCATGAGAGCTTGAATGGTATTCATGTTTTCATCAAAAGAGCCCATGAGCTTAGTAGTGGTTATGATATCTTCAAAGGACCTTTTTTCTTTCTTTTTTGAAGGCAACCAAAGATATACACAAAACTGAACATCTTGCAAATTTTACTAATTTTTCAACAAATAAAACTATTAACCTCAACTTTCAAAGGAAAAATGTGTAACCACTTAAAGCAAATACGAATCATTAGATGGCTCAAAGTCGTGTACGAGGTGGATCGATAGGCATTGTGAGCCAAGTGGAGAATAGGGAAAAGATTTTATCGCATAAAAATGCAGGCTTTGAGGTGGTCAACATGGCGCAGATTTTGTGGCATGAGTATACGGCCCAATCTAGCAGATTTTTGGATACTAGACTCAAAGATGTTGGATTGGTTCAAGGTAATATATAGTTGGTTGGGTCTAAAATTCTAGGTCAGGTTATTGGGTTGTGGGAATAGTCTGGGCATTACGAATTGGGATAGTGCACTGTTAGGTCTTTTTGGGGATTAAGCTGGACTGGACTAAGTCTTGGTTGAGTTCAAGGCTTGGGCTAGTGAATGTGTGGTGTAGACTTGGGTTATTTGTTGGGTTGGAATATGGGTAGGTGAATTGATTATGCTGTGAGGACGTTTTGGATCTTGACTAGGTTTAATTTTGGGTTTAAGGTGTTGGGTTGAGCCTGGGTTTCAAGATGGGTTGAGATAATGGGTTGGGTTATAACAACCCAGGATATTGTAGCAATTTCATTGAAGCAAACTGATCAAAGACCTAGGTCTCCAGGGTTGAAACTTCAGCAAAGATGCAGAATCATCATTGATGGTCACTGACAACAATACGTGGTGAGGACAGACAATGATTTCCGGCAAGATAATGATGACAATGAGAAGCAGTATTTGAATCAAGTGAGATGTCAAGTGGTTATCAATGGCAGCAAATATGACAATCAATGACATGGGTGAGTCACATAGAGGCAGCAAAAGTGCTGACTAGATACCTGAAGAGATATAGTCAGTTGTTGGGTTTTCAGGTCGGAGATCACAGGCTTTGTCAACAGTGTTGGGGTCTACGGCACATGTATGAGTACGAGTACGGATACCGGTACGATAGGATTACGTCGATATGGTAAAATCTAATAAAAGTAGGGTACAGGTACAGCTGGATACATTTGTAAAAAAATATTTATTTTTAATTTAGAGTAATACAAAAATTAGTTAAATGACTTTGTTGAGAACTAACCTATAATTCACATTTAATGCAAAAAGTCAAGGTACAAACCAAAATTAAAATTCATTATGGCCTCGTTTGGAAAGGTGGCTATTTTAGTAGGCTATTTTCGTTTTTGGCTATTTTAGTTTTTGACTATTTTAATAGGCTAAAATTTTTGTATTTGAGAAGAGGGTTGGATTTTTTTGTATTTAGAAGTAATGTTTGTAAGAGAAAAAGTAAAATGATTATGGGTTTGATGTGACATTTTGTCTTATTGACTATTTTAGTCTATTTTATCTTTTTGTACATTTTAGCCAAAAATAGCCCAAATTTGGCTTCCCAAACACCACCCATATTAAATAACTTACAAACCATTGTTTAATTTTAAGATCATGCTAAACATTCAAATAAATAAATAGAGTAAAGTCTAATGAAACTAATTTTATCTCTATATTAAAAGAAAATATTGTTTCAATTGAGGTACAGTATGGGTTGGATATACCCTAGATACGTCTGGCGTACGGCAAAAATTAAGAGGAAACAATTTGGTGCGTGTTCTGGGTACCCACATATGCAGAAGTACCATACGAAGTATTGGTATCCGGTACGGGTACGGCATATTTGTTGAAGTACCCATGGTTCATATGTTGGGGTTGCTGTTGTCAAGTAAAGTAAACAGTGGCAAAAGTGAGGAAGACAGGCAGCAGTTACAGCATTGGCCACGATGGTCTGCAGTGGACTAAACGCGATTGGCTGAAAAGGGCAACAATGGTGTGAGAATGAAACTTATGATGGTTGCCAGCTGTATCAGTGAGTGCTGATATGTCCTCATGTTTATTCAAAAAATTGGGTGACGGCAACAAAGCTTCAAAAATTTGGGTCAGGCTACCACTTGATGCTTGGATGGTCGACGAGAATGGAACAACTAAAAGAAAATAAAAATAAAGGCCACGTAAAACATAATAAAAGAAACCTTAATTCTTTGATCTCAATATCCAAAATTCAATTTAATATACCGAACCATTATATAAAAGGCCTATTTGTAGGCAGCCAAAGAAATCCTAATTAATAGTTACCAAAAATAAAAACTAATAAAACAATAAATATATTTAATTATAAATAAGAGAAACATTGAAATATATCCCTAATCTTCGTACAATTCCTTCTTGTTTCCTATCACAGAATGTTAGGTACGCAAGTCACTTTTTGTAGGTAAGGAGGGGCCCTCATTTTGACTATAGGGGAAAGTCTCGTTCTTACCAAAGGCTTACAATGTCACCAGGTTTAGAAAAGATGGAAGGCACATGAACTTTAGACGAGGCAAGTGAAAGGCAGAAAGAAACGGTTTACATGGGGGGCAATGCAACAAGACGTCAGTCATGATTAAAATTTAAATGAGTACAAGACAACTTGCAACAACAGATAGAATGTGGCCTAAAGGAGGCCACATGGTAGTCTGGTAGAACCTTCCCTGGTTGGTTTCAGTAAGTTTTAAACATATTGACGATCAACGCTTTTGTTTTTTTATAGGGGTAGCACCCTCTTGCTGCTTTCTTTAATAAAGTATTTACGTTTAAAAAATAATAATCAAAAGAACTGCTCTTTTTGTGGAGAAATAAAAGCAAAAAATCAACAAACAAACAAACAAACAATTACACAGATAAATAAATGACAATGTGAAAGGAAAAAAGGAAAAACGGAAAAGAGGAAAACAATAGCAGTGTCAGAATGCAAGAGAACAAAATTCAAGCATCAGCAAGCATGAGACAATGGTCACAGAATTCTTCCCTTGTTTCTCTCTCAAATTCAAACCAAGATAATGCCAGAAAAGTTTTTCACTAAATACCTCCGCGTTGTGAATCTTGTACTCATGTAGAATTTGATAGCAAAGCTTCTCATCCACATGGGTTAATGGAATTGTGCTGTTGAAAGAGATACCTCCAGTCTTTTTCTTTTTAAAATATATCTACATGTGAAAAAATAAACAAAACTCTTAAAGAAATAAAAATAAAAATACCCTCGATAATTCAGTTTTTGACAACTATGGACATCAAAAAAATGAATGGAGTGGGTAATTTTCAAAAGGAATTGTAGTAGAGGAAGTGCATTATGTGTCAAGGATGGAATTGTTTTGGTTTTGGTGAATATCCAATAATTGCAGTAATATGAATAATTGAAATTGAATCAGTAGTTTCAAATGAAATTCAATGAAAATATCTAATATGTGAGAGTATCATGCATAATTTAAGAGATTATCCGTCAAAAATAAGTAGTTCACTATATTCTTATTATCTATCAAAATAATATAAGCTCAAGGGTAGAGATGATTAAGATCTGGAAATTTCAAAATTTTGGAGAAACCAGGACAAGCAAGGCAAAATGCAAGTCTGAAGGTGTGGGAGACCCATCCTTTCAAATGTTTAGAAAATAAGATACAAAAATAAGCCACTCATGTAGATGGAAATTCATTAACAAAGAAATCTGGATTTATTTATTTATTTTATTATTATTATTTTTTTGGATGGAAAGCACAGAAATTTGGAATTATACACATACTATTGACAGACAACTAATTAAAAAAATTTCACAACCCAAGGCATGAAACATTACTTGAGGTGGTCTCTTGTTCAAACGCAGGCCCACAGCTTCCAGCTCCTTTGTCAATATTTGCCGATGTCCCTCACTCTAAAGAATTAAAACATGTACGATCAAAGCAAGCAAACAAGAAATCAAGAAGACGACATAAATTACAAAAACAGAAAAGTGCTGCAATCTACAACGAACAAACAACCAGAAGTATAGAGTAAAATGCACATGATACATATTTGGAAGGTTCAGAATGAATATTATAATCTAGTAAAGGGAAAATAATAATAATAATAATAATAATCACCAGAAGAAAATTTGAATATTTCAGATTATTCCGTCAGAAAAAACTGGTATTTAATGAGCCATATAGCTGTTACTATCAGGACAACTTGCACCAGTGTCCAACATAAACTGTAAATTTCATAAAATCAATTTAACAAGGTTGATACGGTGCTCATTAGGTATTGGTATTGCAAGTCTGATACTATGGCAACAAAAACCCAGAGGTTTGGGGAAGAAACCTCTTTTTCGTGCATGTTGCCATTCTTTTTCGTGCCCAATAAGCATATTTAAGAGAATACCACATAATTGACCAATTGATTTGGGGAAGAGAGGACAATTTTTGAATTAGATGTGAAGTATTGTACTTAACATTAAATGCCTAAACAAACAATCAATTTCACAACATGAATGAAATGTAGTTCAAAAAATTCATGTTAGAACCACAGATTAACAAAAAATACTAAAAAAATAGAAGGAGAACAACAATTACTAAGAAGCATGAATGTTGACATGGGACAGAAACAAGGAAATAGGCTAGCCGACATGGTCAGACAAATCATCACGCCTAGGGTGATAAAATTCTCCGATGAGAAAATAACATTATATGAGAAGAGCTAGTAATGTTATGATTATTTTAAATCAAAAGGGTATATCAATCAAAACGGTAATCCTTTGTCTAAAAATAGACAGGGTACTTTTATAAATGGAATGACAGCAAATTACAAATGTGACTGGTTATTGTAAATAATAACTGAACATAAAGTAAATCACACATATTGTTACAGATTATAAATGGTTTGGGCAATATTTTATTTTTATAGGCAGAACAACATAAGACCAGTTTTCAACTCCCACGCTTGGAAAAATGCCATGGAAAACAGTTAAAATTTAGATATCAAGTACTCAAGGTGCCAACTGTACAACCTTTCCTCTCTTGATATCAAGAACATAAGGAGCCAACTGAACATTCTTTCCTCTCTTATTCATGCCTTACTCTTTTGTCTACAACTTGTCCGGAGAATGTCCATGCCATTCTCAATTTTTAAAAACAAAAAACAAATCCAAACCAAACTAAGTGTTGTGTCCCATCACAATCAATTTTTAAAAACAAAATACTACATAATTTCTTACACATAGAAGATATCTCAAAGTCCAACTCATTTCCAGCACGTGTCCACATCTACCATATGCCACGTGTCTGTGGTTCATGGGACAACCATAAGTGGCTGCACCTGCATGGGATCAAACTCTAAGGGCAACTCCATAAGAGAACACAAGCTATGATAGAAGCTACGTAGCACAGACACAAACACGTGACATGACACTAGCACGCCGACGCATCAATTTTCGAAAAATACAGGACACAACACACTTGGGACACGTTAAAATTTTATATTTCTACAAATTATTATGTCATATATATGACTAACTTATTCAAAGATAATAAAAATATGTAAAATAACACTAATTACATTTAAAAGCTATATATTTGATAAATTGAACATTAAGGTATTATTCACATAACCATTACATTCTTGTAGAACATTGTAATAAACATGATGTATTCATTTTATTAATGTTTTAAAACATATTTAGAGTGCATAGAAGGATGCAGAACATTATTATTATAGAGGTATTCATCACATAGGGCATATTCAAAGAGTTCAAGAAGTGTCGTCTAAGTGTCCGCGAAGTGTCAATAAAGTGTCCGATAGTATGAATTTAATTTTTTAAATCAAGACACATTAAAGAAGTGTCTAACATGCATTTCGGAGTGTCTGACACGGGTGTCCAACACAATATGCTTCCTCCATAAAAGTGTCCATGTTTCTTAGGATAGAAGTAACCATCAACCAAGGCCACCTCTTTTTTAGGTGAGTACCATCAAGGCCACCAGCTGTTGCTGGTAACATAAAAAAGCACATATGGCATCTTATAAACAACGATGGCGATAACACAATAAAAATGTCATGTATTTAGGTTCATCAGGCACTCATAGTGAAATGTGGGAAAAAAAGGTGTGCTCACCAAGAGTGAAATATTAATATGGAACAATATGATATTTCAAAAATAATTCCTATGCCGTCACCATTGACCTAATGAGGCATCCATTATAACCCTTACCAAATTCTTTATACAACTACAAGAAGTAGAAGCAAAAACACTACACAACTACATAATATATGCTTACTTTTGAGGCATCAAGAACCATCAACACAATGTCTGATGACTTTGAAACAGCAATAACCTGAGAATAGAAAATAAATAAATAATTCAAGTTTCATGTAATTACCACCAGACACCGACATCTAGCCAGACAAGGCAAAAGAAATAATGAAAAGGAGAAAACCTTAACTCGAGATCATATCCATACCGTTTTCAAAATGAATTTTCACAAAATTGATCAAACATCTTTTCATAAAAATATAATTTAAGAACTAATTAGAGGCATATGACGCCATGATATCACAAGAGAAAACAAGCAACTGAAGCATTTACCTGCCTACCACGCCCCTTGCCTTCAGAAGCACCTTCAATAATTCCAGGAAGATCAAGTAATTGAATTTTAGTATCATTATAGTGAATAATCCCAGGAATGCAGGTAAGAGTTGTGAACTCATATGATGCAGCTTCTGAATGTGTTCCCGTCAGGAGTGTCAAAAGAGTTGACTTCCCCACACTGTAGACAAATAGAAATAGCTGTGAAGTTTCCTTCCCACAATAGGGCCAATTTGTCACCACATTATTACTATGTTAATGTGCTCCTTTGGAGGGGGAGGGCAAGAGAGAGAAAGTGAGAAAGCAGACAGACACGCTGCAGGTGGGCAACATCAAGTTTATTTTTCAAGCCAAGATAACTGTAGTCAAGAATTTGTAACACTACATTTAAAACACACATTGTGGAAAGGGGGGCTGGAATAACTATTACTGCCGAGTTTGTAAAATACAGACTAATAGCACTTCATAGCTTGAGGCAGCCACAATGGCAAACATTGACTTAGATAAAAACAAGGAACTTTTAATAAACCGCATATTTTCCATTCTAGCAGCATGTCCGTGTGGCAGAACCTATGATACAAGGACACTTAAAATTAGTTGCCATAACCATGTCTGAGGTGTGTCAGGCACATCGGAACACGTCGGACATGCTACATGGTGTGTATTTTTTATTGATTGTGTTCTCATTGAACACCTTAGGGGCACATCATAGACACATGTATCTTACCTCCAAATATTCCCTAGGAGATGTTTGACTTGTGATTAATTATTTTTAATGAAGGATCACTTTCATTATTAAATTAAATTCTTTTAAAAAATAATAAATTGACTGGTTTTCTCATGTTGAATTAGTTAGCTTTTCATTATTTTTTTTTATTGCTTACCGCACCAAGAAAGAAGAGTGGAACGAATGATTTGAAAAAGAGAGGTAGGTCTAGCCAAGGATGGAGTTCTTTTCTATTGGATCTGCTACTCGACCAGTATTCTGTTACAGGTTTGCCTAGTGCTTCTATCAATAGCTTCAGTATAATATTTATATACATAACAAATAACATTATATAAATAATATATTTTGTCATATCCCCTCCGTGTTCATGTCTTGATTTTTTGAAAAACATAGTGTCCTGTCTGCATTCAAATCGATATTTGAATCCATGCTTACTAATTTTGTATTTGAAGTAAAAGTATAGATCACTATTTCAGAAGAAGAAAAGCTTATCCAGGTGCCAGATATACCAGACCTCGGAAATCCTATTAGTGCAACACGTCCATGTCCATATTTTGTAACTTCAAAACCTTCTCCAGCTCCACTAGAACCCTGGGTCATTTTTGAAAAATAAAAACATAAATGTATATACACACATTAATGCACACTAATTCAGAGCATCAGAAATCAATAAATCTAAATTTTAGTATGTCCATGAATAAAAACACACAATCATGAGTCAAAAGTTTCCTCCTCTTCTTCTTCTTCTTTGTTTTTTTTTTTATTTTTTTTTTAAGAAACTAACATCTCTAGATGCATTTGCATATCTACAAATCAAAAAAACTTGCATACTTTTGGAGGCTCCAATAATTGTGTCCTTAGTTTTGCTATCTTTGCCTTGAGCTGACCAAGATGATATTCTGCATATTTGTAAAAATAAAAAAGAATGAATCACCCGGTAGAACATTCTGAGAACAAATTATAGAGATTTGGGAAGATGAAATACATAGAACATGTATAAAATGGGAATATAGAATATGAAAAAATTGCCGATATGGCAAAAAAATTAAAAAAAGAAAAAGAAAAAGAAGATGAATACAGCTTCAAGGAAGTTTTGACAACATCTTAGTTGAACGCATCTCCGGTGAATTGTTAACTAATAAGTATGAAGCATTCAAGTAGCTAAAAAGTTTTAGCAACTTTTTTTGACAAGAGGCATTCAAGTAACTAAAATTTGTTATGGATTATGTTAAGAACCTGTGGCTTTATTCTTCTGCGTTCGTGCCATCTCAGCTTCGATTTCTTTAATCTTTTCTATGATCCCCATCTTTTTGTTCAATTTAGCTGTCCAGCAGAGAGCGTGTGAGACATTAGTTTTACATCTTGAAAATAGGATGACCAACCAAGTAGGTGATTACAAAATCATAACGAATATATATCAACAAAAGGAAGCAAAATAACCACACATGCTCACAGACACAGGCAGTTCAAATAAAATTTAAAAAAAAAAAAACAGAAGAAAAAAACTGAAACCATAATAAGGTTGAGTAAGAAATATAACCAAGTTACTCTACAGCGGGTAGTGAGGGGGCAAGTGATAAAATTCTGGTAAGAAAGATCTTTACAAAATAAACTGCAATAAATCGATATCTAATGAGAATTTGAATCAATCTCTTCTGATCTTTAACACCATCAAAGTAAGGTTATAAAAGTAAAACATGTCAGAATTTGGTCCTAGCTACATGGAGAGTAATTTGGTCCTAGCTAAGGTTATATTCCCAACCCCTAGCCAAGGTTATATGGTAACAAGTTCCACAAAAATGTAAAATATTTTAGTGTTAATTACCAAAAAGTCCTTTTCTGGGGACTTAATTATGTCTCAGCACATAATTTTAACTAATCATCCAAAAATTTTAAAAATACCTTGACAATTAGCACATAATTTTAACTAATCATCCAAAAATTTTAAAAATACCTTGACAATTATGCCCTTCCTTTTAAGTTGAAATTGTTGCATACTCAGGGCAAAAAACTGGTCAGCACACCACTTTGTGCACTGACATGTCATTGTCTATTACATTTTTTTTTTTTTTATGGAACTTTGAAATGTTATAATATTTTAATTATATGCATTTGTTTTTTTGTAACATTTATATTTTTGGAACCTACTCGTCGAGATCTATCAAATAAAATCAATATTAAAAAAATATATATGTAATAATAAAAATGTAAATTTTTAGTGAATCTACTGTACAGACCATTGTTGGCATGCAGTGGCAACTCCAAGATTTTCTTCACCACGGTCAAGGATTAAGTATCAAAAAATTTTACAGAGATAAATTTTTTTGATCTTATCAATATCTTCTATTTATTTTTAATAGTTTGAAAAATATAATTTCAATCAAATAACAAATATACGAAAACTTCAATGCACTCATACTAATATACTGATTAAAAAATATATAAATACATTAACTTCAATAGTCTCAATAAGTTTTCATACTCCAAGATGTTTTTCACCGGGGTCAAGGTTTAAGTAATAAAAAATTTTAAAGAGATAATTTTTTTTGAACTTATCAATATCTTCTATTTATTTTTAATAGTTTGAAAAATATAATTTCGAACTATCAAATAACAAATATACGAAAACTTCAATGCACTCATACTAATATTCTGATTAAAAAATATATAAATACATTAACTTCAATAGTCTCAATAAGTTTTCATTTTTTTTTTTTTTTTTTGTTTTTTTTTTTTTTGATAAATAAACAGACTTTATTAGAAAGCATCAAAGACGATGCAAATAATAGAACTGAAGATGAAAGGAAAAAACAAAACTATCTAATCAGACCCTCCATAAAATCAACGAAGACCAAAACATTGGGATCGATTGTACCCGTAACCCAATTATGCAATACCATCAACAACCGACTCCCTAACCAAAAAACGGAATGACAATCATCCTGAAACACTCGCCTATTCCGTTCTAACCAAACCAACCAAAGCAAACAATGGGAAGCAAGCACCGAAGCCTTCCTGCACCACTTTCGCACCCTAATCCCACCCCAACTCTGTAACACTCCCATTAAAGTTCCCGGCTGCACCCAGACTAAGCCAAACAAAGCAACAAGAAAATTCCAAAGTTTGGACACAACCGGGCAATAAAGGAGTAAATAATCCACCGTTTCCACGTCCCTGCAACACATGCAACACCAATTGACCAACACATGCCGCCGCCGGATCAAATTATCAATAGTAAGGACACGCCCCAATGCAGCTGTCCAAACAAAGAACGCAACCTTAGAAGGAGAACCCATAGCCCAAATACATTTCCAAGGAAACACCCCAGCACCTCCCCTTTCAAGCAGCCCATAAAAAGAGGACACTAAGAAGACCCCTTGAGAGCTCCGAACATCCCATACTAAAGAATCCATCCCACCCCCCACATTATGCAGTCCATACAAAAAGCCGAGAAGATCTACCAATTGGTCGAGCTCCCAATCCTGTATATGACGACGAAGACGAACATTCCAACCAGCTGATGCCCCATGGATCTCCCGAACCGAAGCAACCAGCTCCTCCCCAGCAGCAATAGCAAAAATCAAAGGAAACATGGCCGTCAAAGTCAAACCATCACACCATCGATCTTGCCAAAAGCGAACTCGCTCACCACCCCCCACTTTAAACCGTACCCTATCCCAAAACACCTCCTTTTCCAACCAAATTCCCTTCCACAAACCACAACCATGAGATTGAACCACCCTCTTCGAACACCAGCCCCCCTGCTCCTCTCCATATTTAGCCACCACAACCACCCTCCTCCATAACCTCTTTGTTCCTCCACAAAACGCCATAACGTCAAAGTCAAACCATCACACCATCGATCTTGCCAAAAGCGAACTCCCTCACCACCCCCCACTTTAAACCGTACCCTATCCCAAAACACCTCCTTTCCCAACCAAATTCCCTTCCACAAACCACAACCATGAGATTGAACCACCCTCTTCGAACACTAGCCCCCCTGCTCCTCTCCATATTTAGCCACCACAACCACCCTCCTCTCCATATTTAAACCGTACCCTATCCCCTGCTCCTCCATAACCTCTCATGTTCCTCCACAACCTCTCCTGTTCCTCCACAAAACACCATAACCACTTACCCAATGAAGCCTTGATTAAACACCACCAATTTCCGCACACCCAAAACCCCCTTCGCTCCTTCAAAGTACAAACCCTCTCCCAAGCCACCAAATGATAATGAAAACCCTCTGCACCCCCACTCCACAAAAAGTCATGTTGCAACTTCTCTAACCGCTTTGCCACCCCCACAAGAATCACATGCACAGACATAAAGTACATCAAAATGCTGGGCAAAACACTCTTGATCAGAGTAATTCGCCCCCCTTTTGACAAGTATTGGCGCTTCCACCCTGCCAAACACCGCTGAACTTTGTCCACCACCCCAGCCCACACTCGAGTCTCCTTAAAAGAAGCCCCCAAGGGCAATCCCAAATAAGAAACTGGCAACCTTACCACTTTACAACCTAAGACAGCGGCCAACACCGGCAATCGAGGTACCTCACCTACATGTATCAATTCTGAATTTGACAAATTAACCCGCAGCCCTGACACCGCCTCAAAACATAATAGAACACAACGTAAATTGCCAATCTGAGTAACCTCCACATCACAAAAAATCAACGCATCACCAGCATAGAATAGGTGGGAGACCACCAAAGAGGCAGAGCCCTCACCTACCACAAAACCTGATAATAAACCTTGGACCGCCCTTGAACACAGTTGACTCAAAGCCTCCATAACCAAAATAAACAATAATGGAGACAATAGATCTCCCTGCTGCAAACCCCTCCAAGTGGGGAAGAACCCTGCTGGCGTCCCATTAATTAGGACAGACGTTGGAACAGTGGAGATACAAAAATGTATCCACTGCTCCCCAAAACCCAACCTCTATTTTTATATTTGTAATATATTATGTGAAATAAAATGATGTCATATGTAACATAGAGTGTCAAAAAGGCAACTCATTTTATAGCAATTATACAATATGTATAATGATAGTATTAAATACAAATATATAAGTGTTCGTTGGAAAGTATCGGACACAATGTATACCCTTGTCCAAGTGTCAGGTGTCCGAAATAGGTAGTTGAGTTATTTTGAAGAGTATGTAACATAGTGAGTGAAGCTCCTGAATCAACAATCAAAGTCATAACGCATCCAGCAAAAATTGACAACTTTGTCTCTAATCTACTTTCCCAAGCTATATGTACGGGTATGTATATGTACAAATATGAATCTCAACTACCATCTTATTTTTAAGGGTATTTTAAAAATATGATGAACACTACGTAGCCAAATTCCTCCATATTTAATAATGAAAGATAGATCATATCAAAAATTCAAGTAATATATAGAAATGAAAACAGATTTATGTGATGAAATTACTAACAATCATTGAATAAAAACATCATCAAGTTCATAGAAATCGGATAAGCATTAGATGATCTACTGCTATAAAATAATGGCTTATCAAATTAAAGCCTTGTATCCCAATCAATGATGTAGCTAGAAATTTAATTCAGTGGTGTCATTCAGTTAGTTATCATCGATATGATTATTTCATATCGATTGAGCATAATTGTGCAATGTTTAATCAATAGAGCAGAGAGAGTGAGGAAAAGGACACAAGTCTTCATGTGAGAAAAAAAAAAATTGAAAACATTGAAGAATCCAATGCTTAAAAAGAAAAGTAGCTATTCACAAAGCTCTATTTTTTTAAAAAGGAGTAACGATATATAAATTAAATGGGTAAATTACACTGACCTCCCCTGAAGTTTGCCTTAATTACAGATACCTCCTGTGCAGTTTCAAAAATGACAGACTATGAAGCATGGGTACTTCGAAAAACAGGTCGTGCCCGTATCGGTACTTACCAGCGTATGGTACCTCGTATAGTACTTTTGCATACGTACCAGGTACACGAAACATATATCCAAATTTTTTCTTCTTAATTTTTGGCGTACCTAGTATATACCGTATCTCAGTTAAAACAATATTTTCTTCTACTACAGAGATAAAACTCCTTCCACTAGACTTCTATTTTATTTTTTGTTTTATGCTTAGCATGATTTTAAAATTAAACTATGATTTGCAAGTTATTTAATATATTGATATTTAATTTTGATTTATATCTTTACTTTTGGTATTAAATGTTAATTGTAGGTTGGACCTTAACAAATAAAATCATTTAATTAATTTTTGCATTACTCTAAATTAAAAATAAATATTTTTTTTACAAGCGTACCAAGCCGTACCCGTACCCTATTTTTTTGAATTTTACTGTATCGACATACCCGTATTGTACCAATACGGGTACTCATATCCATACCCGTGCTTCATAGGACACAGACCTCCCTTACTTTTGAAACTAATATACAAAGACCCCCTTCTATTACCCATCCGTCCAAAATCAAATAGATTACGATGATGTTATCCATAATTATTTTGCAAATTCCAATACTACCCTTCATGTACTTCACATATATATGAATCATGTTGACCATCGTAGGGGTTTTACTTAGTCCTTTGGCTATTGTAGGGTTTATGTTGACCATCAACAAAGAAATAAAAAATAAGAAACCCTTGACCATCCACCTTCGTGAGCGCCACCGCCTAGCCCTTCAGCTCCGTCGCCGCTGCAGCATACTTCGGCGCCAAAGCTTGACAGTGTACACACCATAGCACGTAGAACTCAACCATCATGTATCAATTCCTCTTGTAACCTCTAGTTCCACCTTTTCGTCCCCACCAATCCCAACCAAACTCTCCATGTCATCGTCTTCTTCCACGGCAGCGGATTCGTCTACCTCACCACCGACTCCAAGGCCTATGACACTGTCTACCGCCGATTCGCCGGCAAAGTCCCCACCATTGTCGTCTCCATCAACTATTGCCTCGCTCTCGAACACCGCTACCCTGCTCAATACGACAACAGTTTCGACGTCCTCACATTCCTCGACAACAACAAATCTCAAGTCCTACAGGAAAATGCAGGCCTCTCTCACTACTTTCTCACCAGCGACAGCGCTAGCACCAATCTCGCTCATCACGTCGCGTATCAAGCTGCCGAATCAAATTTCTAGAAATTGAAGGCATGAAAATCAAACAATAGATCCACAACATAACATAACATTTGCATCGCATTTCTTCTTAATTGATGAAATTTCTTCTTAATTGATGAAATTTCATAGAAAATTATTAGTTAAAAAAATTGTGCTCAAATGATTATTTCATCAAATGTGTATCAAATCAAAATTCAAGCAATTTTCTCAACATTACATCACTAATTTTACTCTAAAAAGGTTAATTGAAATTTGATTGATTGTGTTGTGAAATGAAGGTGGTGGGGCTAGTGGCGATACAACCGTTCTTCGGCAGAGAAGAGAAGACTGAGGCGGAGATGAGGCTATCGCAGCTAGTGTCGGTGAAGAGAACAAACTGACTATGGAAGGCATTCATGCCAGAGGAGGAGGAGTAGGTGGGAAGGGACCACAAGGCACTAAACGTGAGAAGACCCCCCCCTCTCTCTCTATCTCTCTCTCTCTCACTGTCAAGTTAACGCCGTTAAGGCTCTTTTAACGGAAAGGGGGAATCAAACTTTTATTTTCAAAAGTAAGGGAGGTTTGTGTCATTTTCAAAACCACAAGGAGGTATTTGTAATTAAGGCAAACCTCAGGGGAGGTCAGTGTAATTTACCAAAATAAAATTTGTATACAGAATAATGTGACTTCTTGTTCTTTCATTTTCAATCAAAAATACACCATTGTCCTAAGAATTTCAAAAATATCATTGACACGTCATTTTGAATGTGTGTTTTCGAACAAAGTTTGTGTTTACAAATCATTTTGGCACCATCATATTTATTTTTCAAAATTTCTAAAAAATTTACATAATATTATATAGTTTTTAAAAAATTCAAAGTTGAGCGGAAGACTTAGCTCCGCCTCTAGTCCCAATCAAGTAGGGTACATAAATTTTTTTTCACCATTCCACTCTTATCAAGGAGTATATGCTCAATCAAATTTAATAAATTCATATCATTTTTTTTTCCCCAACACATCTCATGTCAATTTAGGTTTTTCTCTTCTCCTAACATTTTCATTTATGGTGACCATATCACTCTTCTTGACCATTGCATATACAAGCCTTTGTTGTATATAACCAAACTATTTTGTTCTTTCTAAACTTTTGTACAATCCGTGCTACTTCTACTGTTCACGAATTAATTCATTTCTAATTTGTCTTTTCTTGTCTTATCACACATCTATCTAGAGTATATTAATCTCAACTATACTCATACGAATGTGTTGTTTCGTAGTAGCCCAACATTGTGTCCTATAAAGCATCACTAGCCTTTTATAGTTGTTCCATAGAATTTTTCTATGAACTTCATTAGTATTCGTCAATTGTAATATGCCAAAAGCACTCAATCATGACCTCCATTTAGGCCAACCTACGATAATTTCACGAATCACGTCACTCCAACTTCTCTATTATTATTAATAATTGAACCTAAGTAATAAAAATATTCACTATTTGTTATTTCCTGCTTTTCAATCTTCACTTCTCTGTTATTTCTACTTCCATTGTTACTAAAGTTACACACCATATATTCATTTTTATTTCTACTATGGAGCACCTAACAATCAATTAGAACAAACTTGGCCAACCTGATGACAAATTGGCAACAAAGTTATCATTGTTCATTGGAACTATTTAGATTTAAAATGAAAGTTGAGCGACCACTCCAAGCATAATATTTAAGTTATTTAAGTAGTTATAATAATCTAACTATCAACATAACTACTTGCTTCAATAATGCATGCCAAACGACTTAAAAGTCGAAAGCCAAGAAAATGATGAAGCAATGTTTGAAAATGAATTTCAACTACACTTCTAAGTTAAGCCTTATTCTCTCTTCAATGTAGAAAACAAAAAGTACAGAAGCCATGAGGATTAAACATAAGCCAATGGTGTAGAATATGAAACAAAAATAACAATAAATTTTATTAGCAAGGAGAGGTAAAAAAATCATATCATGTAAGTACATCCCTTGGGATGCAAATATGCAATGCCAAATATTGCACCATAATAAGCTTCCATTTAGAAATACCATGCACATGTTTTTAGTAATTTTAAGGTCAACAACAGCGATAATTCAATCCATAAGAGAAGGTAGCCATATACCTCAGTATGGTTGTATTTTCTTGCAACACTTCAATTGAGACACAAAAACCTGCAAGAAAAGGAAGTTCGATGAAAGCTTGCCTAGGTATAAAATGGTGACAATTAGTGTTTTTAAAGGCTAAAGGCGCACCAAGGTGCCGAAGGTCTCTTGGAGGAGTGACTTATTGAGGCATCACAGTTTCACACTAAGTAGAATCAAAAAAAGTTAACACTCCTAGATCTCAAGTAGGGGAAGCTTCAGCAATGACACTTGGGTTCTTAAGGAATCAAGTCAAAGAAAAGATGCATTATGCATCACAAGTAACTTGGCTCAAGTGATCTTGTTGTTGCCTCATTTCTATACTAGGGAAATTACAAGCCCCTATACTGATATGCTCTATGAAAGTACCCACGGTCATGACCAATCAATTGTAATTACCTTTGAACTCAGTGCAAATAAATAAATAATTGCCTTTGAACTTGTTCAACATAGCAAGCCCTGCATAAGAGTTTGCGACTTACTCTCAAGAGGTTCGATGCGAGATTGATATGCAACGATGACAATGGTAATGGAGGTTGAGGTAGTGGTGGTGGTGGAGGGGTGGTGATAGTAGCTATAGTGGTTGGGTGATGGTTGTGATGGTGGTTGTGGTGGCAGTGAAGGTGGTGGTAGAAGTGGTAATGGTAGTGGAGGAGTGGCGGCGGTGGTAGTAGTAGTAGTGGTGGCATAAAATAGCGGTGGTAGCCGTGGTGTTGATGGTGATGGTGGTGGTAGTGGTGGTGAAGGGGTGGTAGTAGTGGTGGTGGTGGTGGTAATGATGACGATGGTAGAAGTGGTGGTGATGGTGATGGCAACGGCAGTGAGGTTATAACTATGTATGGTGATACGTATGCATAAGGCCTCGTTTGGCAAGTGACTATTTTAGCCAAAAAGTCAAAAAGTTACTAAAAAAATCAAAAAGCCAACAACCCATACCAAAAAGTCAAAGATTCCCTTTTCTCTCTACTTTTTGCACATCTTTTCGTAAAAAGCCAAAAAATCATCCCAAACATACTAGTTTTTTTTTATATCACATTTTAGCTAAAAAGCCAAAAAGTTACTAAAAAAGCCTGTTCCCAAACGAGGCCTAAGTATTTATAAATTTAATCAAAATTAAGTAGGTTTTCTATCACTTAATTATTATTTTTTAAAAATTTTAGCCTATATTTTAAGAATCAAGGGTGCTCGCGAATCTGGTTGGGTCAGATAGCCTCACATCTGCCATCCATACAAACTTAGGCAGATTGAGAAAAATCAATCCGCATATGTTCGCTTAGTGAGAGGATGCAGATTGAACAGGCCGTGTGGGTTAATAGTTGGATGAGGATTAGTTTGGCGGTTTGGACTTTATTATTTTGGACCTTTTTCAGACTATTTTCTAGTAGTTCTTTATTGTTTTGGGCCTTAATTGGGTCCAAATTTTTTTTATTCTTCATTTTTTATAATAAAAATAAAGTCCAAACTTTCATATTTCATAAATAGCTATAATTACTGATTAATAAAAGACTATTTTTTTTAACACACAAAGCATAAAGTATATCATCATTTTCTAAAATATGCTAAAAATAAAAAATAGCAAACATATTTTCACGTTTTAAAATAAATAAAAAGACACAGTTGATAATTGTTAAATACCAATAATAAATAAATATAAGAAAATTTTAATAATTGTTAAATGATGAGAAAAATTAATATTTCTCTTGGTTGATATATTTGTTAGTAGTATTTTTGTAGTGTTTCTATCTAATATGACTGTATATTTGTTCCAATAAAAAGACTTAGAGTCACACATTTTATATTAAATTTGACATAAAATTTAACAAAGTTATAATTAAGTAATGGATTCAACTATTAAATGGAATTGAAATTTTAAAACATCTAGCCAAATAGAACAAATACATAGAACAAATTTTCAAACACCACAAAAATAGAAATATATAAAAAATTATATTTAACTATCATTTTGACACAACAGAAATGTATAGAACAACATACTGATAATCTGAAGATCTACAATACAAACCAATCAAACAAACAAAATAGATCTGAAAATATGGAATAAATATCACCTCCTTTTGCCCAAAAAAACCCCAAATCAATAAATGAAATCAACAAAATCTAATTAGAAAATAGTATGATATTTGGAATCAAAACCAAGGTCTGATTTCAACAAAACTCAGAATATTAGAGTAGAAGAAGAGAAGGGAAGAATATACCTCAGTCGTCGCCGCCGCCGCTGCTCGTCGCTCGCCGCCGGTCGAAGGATGGAGACAGTGCCGGCCGATCGAGGGATACGCAGACTAGGGTTAGGGTTTGGGCAGAGAGAGAGAGAAGTGAGAATATGGTTTGGGAATCCCAAAAGTTGAAAAATGAAATGAATGGTTTGTTTTGGGCTGCTGCACGACACAGAAAAAAATAAAAAATAATAAAAATTAATGATTGGTAATTCAAATTTGACTGTGTATGAAAGCTTAAATTTGTGCTTATTGGTCAACAGATCAGGCGATCGCTTAGATAATCGGTGTAATATTTGTCTACTGCGATTGTCACCCTTATCCACCGCAATTGTCACTTTCTTGTAAGATAACTGACCGGATGATTCAAAATTTGGACGATTCAGGCAAACTCAAATTCGAACTTCCAATCAGTGCTAAAAAATAAGAGAGCGAGAGAGAGAGAGGGGGACAAGCACGTTGGGTCTATGCAGTTTGGTGGCGGTTGATCCGCAACTCGACCCACACCCATTAAACTCCCAGTCTTTTACCTACATTTATTCGCCCATTATCACACATCTGCCTAAAACTCATCGAGTTAGGTCAAGTCGATCGGTTTGACGAGTCAGCAAATTTGTTGAGCACCCCTAGTTTGGACCTAAAAATTTTATTTACATACTATACAATCTATCAGTACACACTATAAACGATGTTTGGATATAAATTTTTGAACAAAAGTTAAATGCTCAAATTTAAAATTATGAATAAAAATAAATTATTGAAATATATATTCGGTTCAATTATTTATACAATAATGTTATGCACACAAAGGACCAAACACAGAAACTGTACATTCGGATGACTGGGTGGTTAACCGGCCAACGCTTGTCGATCGCGACTATCATCTTGTTAACCATGGTTGTCATCTTGTCGACCACAACAAGAGCTTGTCAACCTTGGCTATCATCTTGTCAACAGCGGCTATTACCTCGTCGACCGCAAATATCATCTTGTTATTCGGTTGACCACCCTATCATCTGCGCAGTTGTCTAGGTGGTCGTCCGGATGAATAGTTTCGTAATTGGTTTTGTATTTGGTTATGTGTTTAGTCCTCTGTGTGCATAGCATTATTGTTATTTATACCTAAACAATTGTTTTATGTTCATAAAGTTATATTTGAACATTTGACTTTTGTTCAAAAAAATTTATATCCAAACACCATTTGTGATGTGTACTTAGAATTTGTATGGTGTGCAAATAGAATTACTCTTGAACCCTACATCATTTATTTATTTATTTTACAATTTTATCCTGAAGCAAAATTTCATTTTTGTCCCTAACCTTCTCTATCCAAAATCCTAACCCTTAGACATTATCATTCCAGCCAGCGCACTCCAGCAATTCTCTTCAACTTTATAGCAATTCTGGTTTTGACCCGTTATCTATTGTATTCCGAACTCGGGTTGGTTTAGTTTTGAATAGTTATTCTTATCTTATTTCCTTGTCTTTTCCTTCATTTTGGTTATCGGGTTATAGTTGTGCGTTTGAGATAGGTTGATTGTTTGTATTTCAAAACCTGTATTGCCTAGATTTTAGCCTTTTCACTTGAGCAGGCTTCACAATTTTGCTTCTCCACTCGAACGGCTATTCTCGCGCTTGAGCAGGATTCGTTAACTCTCAGTATTTCTTTTTGCAGGTCTGAAATACTGGAAGTGTGCATCAGACGCTCGAGCGTCCACTTCCACACTCGAGCGGGGACCTTCGTCTGCAGAACTTCTGGAAGTGTGCATTCCACGCTCGAGCGCCACTTTTCATGCTCAAGCGGAACTTTGTGTTTGACGCTCGAACAGGGCTTTCCACGCTCGAGCGGACTGTGTGTATTTCAGTCCGAGAAGATAACATTTTGAGTCACTTTTTCTTATCTCTCTCTCTCTCTAAAACTTTCCAAAAAGCTTGTTCTTGAGGCTCTCTCTCTAGAATTCACCTTTTCTCTAGGATTTCATCTAGATCCATTGGGATTTCCACCCTAGTGCCTTTGAGAAAAAGGTAGAGCTTGTCAAGATCTTCGTTTTAATCCAAATAGAAGTGGGTTTCGGCGTTCTTGGGATTCCACTCTTTCTTGGCTCGTCTCTTTTCTTTGAGGTGGGGATCTTTCTACACTTTCATATGATGTTTAGCTTAGTTATTGTCCTTTGTGTAACAACGGTGTGACTTGGGAATGTTTAAAACAACCTATGGTTTGGAACATAAAATACAAAGAAGGGTTTTGGGTGTAGGTGAAATTAATGCTTGTGGGGGCTTGAAAATACTGTTATGTTATGTCTAATATGATGATTTTGGCACTTGGTTAATATTTGGAAAAAAATGGGAGAAATTGCCCTAATTGGATCAGACTATTATTTTGTACAAATAATTGGATTTGGCATTGAAAATGTGAAATTGGGAGGTTAATGATGTGAATGGTGAAATTGGTTATGTATCAACTCATTCTTTTAGGAGTATTGAATAAACTATCTGTTATGAGATTTTACATCTGTTTAGAAATAACTTTATTGGGCTATCGGTGGAGGATAGCTATGATTGTTGTAGAAATTACATGTGGTTTAGGTGAATTGAAACTAATTGCATGTGCTTGTCATTGAATATGACTATACTTATATACATCGAATATGTACGGTTAGTTGGGAGTGGAAAGAGGATATACTCCATTGTTTGAGTTTGTATTTAAATACATTGCATATGTATGAATAATTGTTTGGGAGGAGAAAGGGGATGGACTTCATTATAATTAAGTTGGCCAGAGTGTTCTGGGTGAAAGTCTCGAAATTATACATGGGTGCTTAGCCCACGGACGAAATATCCGTAAAATGACAATTGTAGTGCTTGTATAGCCTACGTCTACATGGGTCCCGTTTGACGGCTTCCCGTGGACGAAATATCCGTGAAAGAATACATAGGTCCTGGTTGACGGCTACTCGCGGACGAAATATCTGTAAAAGAAAAGTTTAAAGTGCTTACATGTTAATAATGTGATTTAGAATTTATGAGTTATAGTCTCATTTTGGTTATTGGGAAATAATGAAATAGACTTATGAATTGGGTCAGATAAGTGAATGGAACATGAATTGAAAGTAGACGGACTAAGACTTGAAATGAATATTTTACGGATTTATAAAGTTATAAAAAGGGTTATTACGAACATTGTTTGTGCACTTGTACTTATACCTTTGTTAAATTTCATATACTGTGTTAGATGATTTCTACTGGGCTGTGGCTCACCCTACTTGGGAATAACTTTTCAGGTAATGACGGCATGCCTCCACTTAGGCAATGGCATTGGAGAAATTTTCGGAAGCAAGTGCTTCACCTTTTGATTGTATATTTTGTAAAGCCAAGGACTCAAGATGTAATGAGCAAAGCTCACTTTTGTTGTAACCAATTTAAGACTTGGAAAGGCATAAGCCAATAGGGCATTTATTTATATTAAACTCTTTGTACTCATTAACTTTATGTAATGAAGAGACTAAGACTCTGATTTATGTTATTGTTTATATATGTTTATAGATGTGTTTATGTTATTATTTTGGGGGCGTCACACCATTGAATTAAGTTGGCCTGTGTGTCCAAGGTGAAAGTCCCGAAAATCGTATGTATACATGGGTCCCGGTTCCCGCAAATGAAATATTTGTAAAATGACAAATGGAAGTGTTTGTATAATGGTTGTGTTGATTAGAAGCCCATTGAGTTGTACCCTCAGTGCGGTTGTTTGAATGAATTGGTGAATAACTCATGAAATGAGACAAAACAGTAACTGGATCATGAAATAAGGTAAAATGAATTGAGATAACATGAACTGTGATATAAAGCTTGGTATGGCATGGTTTTACAAAAGAATTATAATTGATTTTTATTGTGGGCTTGTGCAAAAACGGGGATAAAAGAGGGTAAAGTGTGCTCACCTTTGTAGCTCAGCAAAACAGCCCCTTTTTTGGACCAAAACCAGCTCCTTTAGCCTCTGAAAATGGCCTCCAAGATCCTTAGAGTGGTGGTGGAGGTGTTAGGATAGGAGGTGGTGTGTAATGGTGCAAGAACAATGGAGTTTGGAGCTTAGGATGTAGAGATATGGAGAGAAGTATATGGTTTTTGTCTTAGACAAATTCCTCCAACCCCTTGAATGGAAAGATAGGCTCTCTATTTATAGAGAAGATGGAGGCTTGAAGCTTCTAAGAGAAGCTAAGCCAAAAAAGGGTCAAGGGGGTCAAGCTTCTCTTAGAAGCTTGGAGCAAAAGGGCCAAGCTTCTTGGAGAAGCTAGGCAAAGGGGTCAAGCTTCTTGGAGAAGCTAGACAAGAGTTCAAGCTTCTCTTAGAAGCTTGGAGCAAAGGGTTCAAGCTTCTTGGAGAAGCTAGAATAAGGGTGCAAATGGTGCAAGCTTCTCTTGGAAGCTTAGAAGGGTTCAAGCTTCTTAGAGAAGCTTGGAGCAAAGGGTTCAAGCTTCTTGGAGAAGCTAGAACCAAGGTTCAAAAGGTTCAAGCTTCCTCAAGAAGCTAAAACCAACGGTTCAAAAGGTTCAAGAGGTTCAAGCTTCCTCAAGAAGCTAAAACCAAGGGTTCAAAAGGGTCAAACTTCTTGGAGAAGCTAAAAAAGGTCAAGCTTCTTGGAGAAGCTAAAAAGAGGTCAAGCTTCCTCAAGAAGCTAAAAAGGTTCAAAAAGGTCAAGCTCTCTCAAGAAAAGGTCTCGGCCAGGAGAAGCGGCCGATTGATCAAAAACAGTGGTCGGCCGACCAAACACAATGCCGACCGGCAACAAAGAGTGCCGACCGGCAAAATACATTGCCGGTGGCATAAAATCACTGGCTGGTGGCCTCAAGCCATGGCCGGTGATGTGTGGAGATGCCTCACAAGGCATTCCCTGCCCCTCCAAGGCAAAACACAAGTGTTTGGTGCAAGACCAGACACAACACAGTCGAGTCGAGAGATCCCGAGGCAAGGCGTGCAACCAAGACCTCCGGGAACTCAAGACGAACACAAACAAGGGTAATCACCAAGTGTTCCAATGGTGACGTCCAAGTCTTGAGGACGGTCAAAAATGGGGTGTCTACACTCACTCCGGCAATTCTCTTCAACTTTATAGCGATTCTGGTTTTGACCCGTTATCTATTGTATTCCGAATTCAGGTTGGTTTGGTTTTGAATAGTTATTCTTATCTCATTTCCTTGTCTTTTCCTTCATTTTGGTTATCGGGTTATAGTTGTGCGTTTGGGATAGGTTGATTGTTTGTATTTCAAAACCTGTATTGCCTAGATTTTAGCCTTTTCACTCGAGCAGGCTTCACAATTTTGCTTCTCCACTCGAGCGGCTATTCTCGCGCTTGAGCAGGATTCGTTAACTCTCAGTATTTCTTTTTACAGGTCTGAAATACTGGAAGTGTGCATCAGACGCTCGAGCATCCACTTCCACGCTCAAGCGGGGACCTTTGTCTGCAGAACTTCTGGAAGTGTGCATTCCACGCTCAAACGCCACTTTTCACGCTCGAGCGGAACTTTGTGTCTGACGCTCGAGCGAGGCTTTCCACGCTCGAGCGGACTGTGTGTGTTTCAGTCCGAGAAGATGACATTTTGAGTCACTTTTTCTTATCTCTCTCTCTCTAAAACTTTCCAAAAAGCTTGTTCTTGAGGCTCTCTCTCTAGAATTCACCTTTTCTCTAGGATTTCATCTAGATCCATTGGGATTTCCACCCTAGTGCCTTTGAGAAAACGGTAGAGCTCGTCAAGATCTTCGTTTTAATCCAAATAGAAGTAGGTTTCGGCGTTCTTGGGATTCCACTCTTGCTTGGCTCGTCTCTTTTCTTTGAGGTGGGGATCTTTCTACACTTTCATATGATGTTTAGCTTAGTTATTGTCCTTTGTGTAACAACGGTGTGACTTGGGAATGTTTAAAACAACCTATGGTTTGGAACATAAAATACAAAGAAGGGTTTTGGGTGTAGGTGAAATTAATGCTTGTGGGGTTTGAAAATACTGTTATGCTATGTCTAATTTGATGATTTTGGCACTTGGTTAGTATTTGGAAAAACATGGGAGAAATTGCCCTAATTGGATCAGACTATTATTTTGTACAAATAATTGGATTTGGCATTGAAAATGTGAAATTGGGAGGTTAATGATGTGAATGGTGAAATTGGTTATGTATCAACTCATTCTTTTAGGAGTATTGAATAAACTATCTGTTATGAGATTTTACATCTGTTTAGAAATAACTTTATTGGGCTATCGGTGGAGGATAGCTATGATTGTTGTAGAAATTACATGTGGTTTAGGTGAATTGAAACTAATCGCATGTACTTGTCATTGAATATGACTATACTTATATACATCGAATATATGTGGTTATTTGGGAGTGGAAAGAGAATATACTCCATTGTTTGAGTTTGTGTTTAAATACATTACATATGTATGAATGATTGTTTGGGAAGAGAAAAGGGTGGACTCCATTATAATTAAGTTGGCCGGAGTGTCCTGGGTGAAAGTTCCGAAATTATACATGGGTGTCTAGCCCGCGAACAAAATATCTGTAAAATGGCAATTGTAGTGCTTGTATAGCCTACGTCTACATGGGTCCCGTTTGACAAGTGCCCGCAGACGAAATATCCGTGAAAGAATACATGGGTCCCGGTTGACGGCTGCCCGCGGACGAAATATCCATGAAAGAAAAGTTTGAAGTGCTTATATGTTAATAATGTGATTTAGAATTTATGAGTTATAGTCTCATTTCAATTGTTGGGAAATAATGAAATGGACTTATGAATTGGGTCAGATAAGTGAATGGAACATAAATTGAAAGTAAACCGATTAAGACTTGAAATGAATATTTTACGGGTGTATGAAGTTATGAAAAGTGTTATTACGAACATTGTTTATGCACTTGTACTTATACCTTTGTTAAATTTCATATACTGTGTTAGATGATTTCTACTGGGTTGTGGCTCACCCTACTTGGGGAATAACTTTTCAGGTAATTATGGCATGCCTCCACCTAGGCAATAGCGCTGGAGAAATTTTTGGAAGCCAAGGGCTTAAGATGTAATAAGCGAAGCTCACTTTTGTTGTAACCAAGTTAAGACTTGAAAATGTGTAAGCCAATAGAGCATTTATTTAAATTAAACTCTTTTGTATCCTTAACTGCGTGTAATGAAAGGACTTATCACTCTGTTATATGCAATTATCCATGTATGCTCTTGAGTTATATCTATTGTGTAATTTGGGGGTGTTACAAACTTATTCCCATTGCCTTTCACCACTGCCCATCCCTTATCAGCCTTCATTTGTTCCTTTTCCACCACTTCACCACCCATTAGCTTATCATCACCCACAACCATTATAGCCAAGCTACATTATATCTCTCTCTCGACTAATCAATCATCGATTGTAATCGAGATACGCTGTTTCTTTCTCTTTGCAGCTAGGGTTTCACATTGCGTTGATTATAATACTTAGTTCGAAAAGGAATATAGATAGAGAGATCGAAGTTGTAGCACTTGGTTCGGAAAACAAATGTCAAACAAAGAGTGTTATTTTGAACATATATCACCGAACAAATATTGGTGGTTAAGTCATAGATTGTAGAACTAGATCTGTGCAATGCAAACCACCACACAAATAGTAGTAGTTTAGACATATGCCATCGAACAAATGGTGGTGGTTCGATCATAAACTGTCAAACCAGATCTAGGTAGATTGCAAAAGGATGTGGTAATTGCGAATGGAGTGTTTGGAAGAGCCACCAGAGAAGTGACTTGGGTGGCGATGAGTTTCGAATGAGGTGGTGGTGAGGGGCTAATGATGTGGCAAAAGAAAGTGGTAGAGGGTTGGTGAGGGCCGCCGGAGGTGGTGAAGATGGTGGGGAAGGAGAGTTGCCAGTGGAAAGCTTGTGGTAATGGTAGGGGTTCAAAGAGAGGGGCACTTTTGAGATTATGGTGGAGGTCCAAAAAAAAGAAGGTATTGACCACCAAAAGAGAAGTAAAAAAAAAAAAACTATGTCCATTCATCACCATATTGCAAATATGACTTTGATTATTGTATTATCCCATGTAATCATCTCATAAAACAAATCATTAACAAATCTCAAAAAACTAAAAAAAAACTAAAAAAAATCTCAAATTGGTCTCTTGTGTGGTATAATTATCTCATCAACAATATATTTGGAAAAAAATATTTGCAAAGGTTAAGAGGGAAAAGGGGTTCAATGGCCTTAGAGATCGATGCTCATGTGAAAAAAGAGAGACGACATATATAGATCTGAAAAGAGGGACCACAAAAAGGGTTAAGAAAAAGAGAGATGTAGATGAGAGACAAAGAGAGAGAGAGAGAGAGAGAGAGGAGGTTGAGAGAAAGGGAGATGGGAGAGTGGGGTTATGTAAGATATATATATACATACATATATATATATATATGGGTGTCACGTCGCAAACCCTGCCCTAAAGGTTAGAGAGATAATCGACCAGTAATCTTAGATTATCAAAGGCCTATCTTGACAAAATACAAAATATTTAATAAAATAATGGGGCGACAAGCGGAAGCTTCTTTGTTTTTTTTTTAAACAACAATTAATCAAAAAATAAACCTGTCTATTGAGCAGTGCGTAACTAACATGGAAATATTACATATACATATTATTGTTACATTACCCACATAATTAAATTAAATACAAACATTCACAAAACACAATTTCATAGTGTTGACTCTTCAAAGCTTTTCCCAAAATGAGGTAAACAATAGACTCAGCTCAAGCGACAACTCTCATAAGGCTTTCTCAAAGGTCTTTAAATGAAACTCTAATGTTGCTCTTCATGTTGCTTACCTACACACACACACACACACACTCACATATATATATATATATACAGAGAGAAAGAGAGAGAGAGAGGAAAAGGGTGACCTAAAGCCTAATGAGTAATACCAAGGTAAAGTGGTAATGAATGAATTCCAAACATTTGTAAAAGATCCATTCCAATTCACAATTCCAAAAGCATTTGTACATTTCATAAGATATACTCAAAATTGTAATAACATGGTACATCCAATAAGGTAACACATCCAACCATACATGGTTGTCATAAAGAGATCTCAACAAATGCCATGATGCATAGATAAATGTCCTTCAATGGCTAGGACTCACTAAATGATGCCACTGTTAGATTCCTTGCAACATGGAACATTCATTCATTCGTTCGTATAAAATAAGATTTCAGAAAACGTCATTCTCAAAGCATTTCCAAAATATATTTTTGAATATAACTTTACAAAGATATTACTCAGAGTGGGCTTGACTCCAATAAGTCTCCTCGTATGACCAACCTACATAACACATACATACAAAGTTGATAAAACAAAAGTATCTAATTTACTTTAACTTCGTTCATTCAATCAATTTAATTAAAGTTGGTTTCTAAATATCTTTTATTTTTCGGTTAGTCTTAATACGTATGTAGAGGTGTTCGAAAGGTCAAAAAGGTCGAAATGAGATCAAAATACACATCCCTGTTTTCTGTATGTGCGGGAGTTCCAACAGCACGTGTGGTTATTTCAGAACTGAGAAGCCTGTTTTTGAGTGTTGGCCGCACGTGCGAGGCTCACAGCCACACGTGCGACTTTGGGAATTTTATGCTGTTCAAAAAATTCTTCATTGTTCAAAGCTTCATCTACTAAATTTTTTACCAAAACTCATACAATACCCATCCTAAATTATATAAATTCATCATTATACAAGAAAATATGATTAATAAACTCATTCGCATCAAAACTTCATTTAATTTGTCAAAATTAGAATCAAACTTCATGTTTCCAAAACCTTATTCTTCTTTCTTTAAAACAAAAACTCAAACCTTCAAAACTTGTAAAAATCAATGATGTATATGCAATTGAAACTTAAAATTTATTTAGGAGAGCAAGAATCCAACCCAAAATGATTATTTCCCAAATTAATTTCTTGATTCCACATCCTATTCCAAATTTTTCATCCTTTCATTATCTCTTTCTAATTATATGAAAGTAATTTCAAACTTTTTTCTCTTTCTCTTCAAAATCTAAAATTGAGGTTATAAAATTCCTACAAAAATATTTACATGTATGTAATTAAAGTTAAAACTAACTAATATTATGTGTTCCAAAATCAAATCATAATTAAATTCTCAATTTAAATCTTAATTTGCCCTAACTACTATAAGAGTCCAGTTTGAATTGATTTTTATTTAGAAAGGCCTTCGGTAGTCAGGAACTACTGGCGGGTCACTTCATGTCGCGACCCAAACCCGCCCCTATAGGTTTAGCGTCGTAACCGGCCAATAATCCTTAGATTACCAAAGGCATCGTAATAGACTAACATAAAAATTAGGGGCTGTGGAAGCAAATAGCAATTATACAACATCCATTGAGCTGTGCAGACTATGAGACAGAAAAATTTTAAACTTTATATTCATACGTATGCACATCATCATATATATATACATATATAAGCTAGACAAAAAAGGGACTTAGCCCTAGTTCCAAAATACACAAAGACTTGTCTAGTTGAATAGGAAAACAAAATTTCAACCTATGCACTTAGCCATAACCACTAGACATGTCTAGAACTTCCACGTGAGGCACATAGGTTGGCTGTCAAAAACTGGTTCCAGGCGCCTCTAAGCTTGGTTATGCCCTGAACCTACATACATACATATAAACAATGAGCTGATGACCAGTGAATAATAACAGAGTAAATGGTTTAATGAATGATGTCCATATTGAATACAAAAATCAGATTTCAAATCTCTTATCAAATCAGAAACATAGTCATGTTCATGTTCATATTCGTATCAGAAATAGAATCATATTCATATCCATATTCAAATCATGTGTGGTACTTCCTTTAGCGTAGCATATCATGTTGGTCAAGCATATCAAGTTCCATAATGGAACCTCCGGTACCGGGTAACATATCTCATACATCGGCCACAGTATTATTTCCCCCGGGCGAGGGCCTATGCCACGGTATTGTTTCCCCCGGGCGAGGGCCTGGGCCACGGTAGTAACCCCCGTGCTAGGGCCTCATGACCATAAACCACAGTATTATGTCCCCTAGGCGAGGGCCTCTACTAAGGATACCACGATTACATTTCAAAGAAAATTGGACAATCATTCATTCATACAAAACATAACATTTCAGAAACTTATCATCTCATATCATCAGAAAATAATTAAAGTTAAATATAACTTTACAGAGTTATTACTCACAGATAGTATCAGGAGCAGATCAGGCAGATCAAGTAGACAATAGCACGTGACCTACACAAACATATAATATATACATATTGAAGCACAATACTACTTCCTTGATCAAACTTGACTTTTCTAGTCTTTTCCGTCTAAACAGTCCGAAGTTCTACTACGCTTATTCTTTCTCATTCAAATAAATCGGGTTCTTATTTCACATGTTCTTTCATTACTATGCCCTTTCTTTCCAAATAGATTGATCTTTTACTTGTCTTCTTAAACAATTACCACTAGATCAATGATTCATTCTTTATTGAGTCATAAATCATGTGTAGAATGCCTTAGAAAGAGATGAGAATAAAAATGTGAACTAAATGCAACTTTCCAAAATATGCTGAAAATGGGTCTTCGCTCGAGCGCTACTTTGGTCGCTCAAGCAGACTGTAAAATTTGAAAACTTTTGGGAGCTCGATTTCCACACTCGAGCGAGACTTTCCTCGCTCAAGCGGACAACGTAAATTCTGAAAATTCCAGAATTGCAATTTAAATTCAATTTTGGTAATCAAAGCTCAAAACATGTATTTTTGGTACACAAAAATGGAGAATCATTGTATGATTTAGTAAACACTTCCAATTAGAAAACATTCATTCAAAAGCATGTTCCAATTGCCCAAATTTAGTTTTAATTCAATTCTAAGATATAAATTAGGCTTTCCAATTCTTTAAATTGCATGATGCATGTGTGATTGAACTCAATTTCATACAAGACAAATAAATTCAAACCCAAAAGGGTTATTTTCAAATTAACTTCTAAAATTTTGAATCTAGTTCAATTTCTACACCATTTTACTAATTCCTTTTAATGTACATGAGATTGAAGTTATATGACCCTTAGGAAAATATTTGCATGCATGTCATTAAGATTAAAACTAATTAATTTTTCTACATTCAAAATTAACTCAATGTTTAATTTTCCATAAACTTGATTTTTCTTATAAAATTTCTTCATTCTTCTCTTCAAAACATGAAATTGTTTACCTTAAATTCCTCAAAATCCAAAATGCATGTATAAAACACTTATCAAATCTAACCAATTTTATATCATCAAGCTCAATTTATAAATTGACTTCTTAATTTATATCATAATTTAATCTCAAGCTCATAAACTTTAAAATATGAATTAAATTCTAAAATCTTGAAAACTTACCATGCATGTAATGGAAAACTTCAAATATGTGAAGGATGAAGAAAATCAAACTCAAATATTTAATCTTAATATCAATTTCTTAATAATTTTACTTTCTAATTTATTTTCCATAAACTTGCTTTTACATGCAAACCCAAATCTTAACAATTCATAATACCTACAAAGCTTTATTTTTAATTCCTTCAAAATTCATGATGTATGCACCAATCTAGTCTATTAAAACTTACAAAATTTGTTCATGCATGTAGAAATGGAGCTCAAATTCATGCATGACTACAAAAATCAACTCAACATAATTGATTCCAAATTTAACTTCCATAAATTGAACATAATTTACTTTCATCATCTTCTTGCTAATTTTGTTCTAATTGTATGAAATTGAAGCACCAAACCCTTGGAAAATATTGATGCATGTAAAATTGGAACTTAAATTCATCAAAGGTGACTAAAATCATACTCACAAGATGAGCTTCTAAATCAATTCCTTAATTCTTAAACTTAACTTAATCTTTCTTCATTCTTTTCCTTGATTTAAACTTAATTACCTCATAAATTTAGGTGTTGAAGAGATTGTCTATAAACATTGAGTTAGAATTCCTTACCTATTAGCCTTCAAGATCTTCCTTTATCTTTAATTCTTAGCTTCCATCAAATTCCTTCCAGCAAAGAAAATTGAATAGGCTTCATTACTCTCTCTCTCTCTCTCTCTCTCTCTCTCTCTCTCTCTCTCTCTCTCTCT